GGGGATACCCTTTAAGTATAGATGAATAAAACCTGAAGTTGCTCATGAATTTTCATGATATTTGATGCATACAATGACGAGATGGTTTCATTTTTTAAGAAACCTACATCAAGAAACCAACACTGATTGAATGCTTTTAGAAAGATGAACAATGTTTAGAGTGCGTGAGCATTGACTGTAAAACTGCATGCTAAATATACAAGAATGAAAGTTGCAGGGTGGGATGTGATCACAATGTCAAATTATATTTGATTAGTTGAGAATTTTGTGCTTTTTTCTCTCCACCCCCACCCACCCAATGATTTTGATAAACTGGTTAAGTCTGCGGCTGATTGCTACCATTAGAGTTGCTGGCTGCAGACCAAGGTATTTGAGTATCATTTGTTGTAGTACCTACTTAACTCATATTTTAAGGTCAGTCAGTAACCTGTGAAACTCCACGCAAATGCTGCTGGCATTCTTCAATGATAGATTCAGTCTGCTGAAGTCTGAAGTGGGTGGGGGGGGGGGGGGGGGGGCAGCAGGCGAATGAACAAAGGCATCACATCCATGACATTGAATATGCATTTATGCATTTGCTCCCTGATGTCTCAGACACAGCCCAGACTGTTAGAGAAACAGATATATCAAATTTGTAGACCCAAAAGACAATGTGGAAATGGGATAAGTCAGATTAATAGACCTTAACTTGAATGGAAACAAATCACTGTTGCTGGATCCAGTCAACCTTCAAGTAATGGAATAGCTGGATACGTTACTAAAGTACTATGTAAATTAAATGGAATCGATGGATACATCAACGCAGGACTAAAATATGACATACTATGGTTGTCAGACTGTATAACAACTATTTATATTTTATAAATGATTGGAGCAAGTGAGGTTTGTAATCAAGCTAATTTGTGCATGTAAACTAAATCTGATTAACATAATTCATAAATACATTTTCTTTTTAGCATACCAAATATCCCCTCTAGATTTAATTAAAAATAACACTTAAATAGTTTTCTTATTTATACTAGAATTAACTATAATTAACTCAATCATTCATGTTATCCCTATTGGCATAATAAATCAACAATCAAGGTTTCATAAAGACAGGCCTGATGATGAGATTATTCTGCTTCATTGTTTCAAATTCATTGTCATGGTTTTAGAGCCATTCAGCTTTATTTGCTAAGTGTCTACCCTTCATAGCATGAAAGCATGTATTCGGCCCATCGTGTCTGTGCTGGCTCTTTGAAAAGAGCTACCCAAAGCAATCCCACTCCCCCACTCTCTCCCCATAGCCCTGCAAACTTGTCCTCCACAAATAATTAACTACCTCTCTCTTAAAAGTTGTTATCAAATCGGCTTCCACCTCTCACTGTGTGAAAAATAATTTCCTCATCTCCCCTCTGTTTCTTTTAACAACTATTTTAAATCGATGTGCTCGGGTTACCAATCCACACGGCAGTGGAAATAGTTTCTCCTTGTTCACCTATCGAATTCCCTCACGATTTTGAAAACTTTTATTAAATCTCCTCTTAATCTTCTCTGCTCCAAGGAGAATAATCCTAGCTTCTCTAGCCTCTCCTGATAACTGAAGTCCCTCATTCCTGGTACCATCCTGGTAAATCTCCTTTGCACCCTCTGCAATGCCTTGACATCCTTCCTAAAGTGTGGTGGCCAGAACTGAACACAATACTCTAGCTGAGGCCTAACCAGTGTTTTATAAAGGTTCATCATAACTTCCTGACTTTTGCATTCTATGCCCCTGTTTATAAAGCCTAGTATCCCGTATGCTTTTTTGACAGCAATATCTACCTGTCCTACCACGCTCAATGATTTACTTAAAATGAACCGCCAGGTCTCTCTGTCCCTGCACCCCCTTTAAAATTGTCCCATCTAGCTTATATTGCCTCTCCTCATTCTTCCTCCCAAAATGGATATATCTAAATAGTTTTTAAAACAATGATTTGTTATAGTTGGAAATAGTCAGAATCATTCCATCTTGTAGCCTGTTTATATTGCCTCTTGTGCATGTGGACCTCTAACAGAGCTTTTTTTTACTTTCATCATTACTCATTTCTGTTGACCATCAATGATCATCAGTATCGTAGAATCCGTTTTACAAAAATGTCCTAAGGAATTTCCNTTTTTTTAATGTGGGAAGCTGGGCAATTAGCACTGGTATCTGAGTGTACACTTGTGCCATAAGTGTGTCAGCTTGACTCAGTAGTAGTATTCTCATCAAAATATTGTGGGTTCAAATAATATAATAATAATTCTTGCATTTGATATACTGCCTTACAATATCTTCGAGACATCTCAAAGCGCTTGACAGGATATACTGTAAAGTGAATTGACAAAAGTTCATAATTTTGTATGACATTGGTATGTGCAATTGTGCTGCTATGCTTGCCTACAAATATACAGTCACTTTGTTTTACAGTCTATTCTGTGAAGCATTTTGAGACCTCCTCCTGCCGTGATAAGGTGCTGTACCAAGTACAATAATTATTATTATTGCAATAAATGGACCCAACTGCATTCCAACATTGTGGTCCTCTAGTTATTTGCATGATTCAAAACTGATGGCATCCGTGCGTAGAAAAAAAATTGTATATGCACAAAACAGAATCCAAATGATCCATTCAGGTATGAACACATTCTTTAGCTAGAACACTTGTGCACAAACCTGTAGTATGTGGGATGCAGCAAAAAAAAAGACGTTAATGCTACAGTGGCACGATTTGAAAAGAAATGGAGTTTCTCCTGGTGTCCTTTTCACTTCATGGGACAATATTGTGTGGAAATTGGCTGCTGCGTTCATCTACAAAACATACAGTCACAACACTTTACAGTATATCCTATGACATGTCTTGAGAAGTCCTCCTGATGTGAAAGCCTTTATATCAAATGTAAGGATCATTACTATTTACCATAATTATTAACCAGTCCACTATGACTCCTTGACTAACACAAAGATGTAAAGCATGAAAACAAAGATGTGTCAGATCTACATGAAAGTTAAAGGACTGTCTTGTGGATACTGTAGGGAGCCATAAATATGGAACAACATAAATTTAATTATTTTTCACGGAAACTACAATCTATAAATTGTGTTTTTAATTAAATATAGCAATTCTCCTCCATATAATAATTAAAAAATAACTCAGGCTGGATGAAATGGACAAAAGCCAAACTTGTCTTTCATTTTCAAGTGAATTTTTTTTAAATTACCTTTTCTGATCTTTTCTGCTGTCCTGAAGATGTTGGTTCATATTGGGGTTGTCTCTATAGTTGGGGTCCATTTCAATACCTGTTTGCAAAAGTATTCTTCTTTGTGAGAGAACATTTGAGGAGGGGAAAATATAGTTTGTCATATTATCTCTGGTATTAAATGTTAGATAAACCAATACAGTCAAAAGCAATCAATAGATATCACTGCTCAGGAAGGATAAGGCATAGGGGAGCGGGCAGTTCAGCCCCCAAGGTCATTGATAGATTTTAACTCTGTCTAGACACAGTTTTGGTCACTATGATATTTATCACCATGATAATATCACAATTTGTATTTCTGTTTATAATATTGTAGTTGGGGCTGATATGGCCACACAAGCAGACTTTCACTACAACACAGGTTTACTCCAAGGTGAGGGAAAACCAAGAACAGCAACACAACAACCACAGAGGAGTTGCAGGCTCCTGGGCTCGTGGGCGAAACGTGTCACCCTTCTCACAAACCCGCTCACTCGCAATAACACCTTCCCCCCTCAGCCCCCGCTAGCCACACGGCCTAGGCTTTTCTTTATCATCCAAAAATAGAACATGCTACTGCAAACATGGGAGGAAGGGATGAAATGCAATGTATGATGAGGACATAGAAAGTGTGCTTTGTGTTCTTAAATCCTGCTCTTGACATCAAGGGCTTCCGCTCCCATTTAATTTGCTCCTCCCTCTAATGCCCAGCATTTCTGCATATCTCACTTGAAAACAACAGGAAACTGACTTTATAGACACAATAGTCAAGCCGATTATGCAAGTATGCAATACTTGCATTATACAGTAGTATGCAATTTTAGGTCCAAACATGAACTTTAAAATCAGAATTTCTTTTCAATCCTACCATTGTGCCGAGATCTGGGATAGAGTCTGGAGGAGCTCCACAGATTATATGAGTGAATTTCAACATAACGTCAATTATTCAGCAGAAATATCAAACCACTTCATACTTTACACTGGCACTAAATAACACATTGAATGGGTTAATGAACTGTTCCCATTATGAAGATGTACTCCACTGCAGCAGCAAGAGCATCATTCAGCTGTAAGAGTTAAACAGTGCAGAAAACACCCAGATTAATGATTTCAATTTTGTCAAGCCAACTTTCTCAATTAAATATACAACTGTTCCCTTCACAAGGCATACTGTATTGTCAGTTTTGACGTTAAAGTAATTTGTTTGATATTATGTCAGGTAAACCACAGAGTTACTGTATTCTTGTAAAGTGAAAACAAAGGACCAAGGGATGTGTTCAGGAGGAGACAAATCACTTTGTTCAAGGAAGGATTATTTATTGCAGTCCCAGTGCTACAGTGATGCATTGAATTCTTGCTGTTACTGTACAAAAATCAATGGAATTCAATCTAAGAGAATTGTGTTGCATGCATTCAAAGCTGACGGTTGCAGATATCAGTACTTTTTTAAGTGAAACAACCCAAAACTAAACTATAATGATTTGCATATCTTTGGGCAGCCAACTATGATTGACATATTTTTCTTGATAATATTTAATTTGTGTTGCAGTTCCGCTAATCTGAGACGAGTGCATTGGCCTTTTCTCAAAGTTTGAAATATTTATTTTAGCAGCAGCTTTGTTGGCAGAAGCATGTTTTCTCCAAAAGGACACAGGGCTGTGGTAGTGACATTCTCCAAATTGCTTTTGCTGTGTCCCCTATGTCAGCTGTGGCACCAAACACCGCAGTGCTGTGCTGGCATGTTCCAATCTGTCAGTGGATGATGGGTTTCAGAGGTTCTTGGCCATGCTGCTAAGTGGGGCCTCCCAGCTTGGGGTTTAAGCTGCCACTCAGTCAACGTCACCCTGCAGTTATTCTACCTCCTGTGAACTGAACTTTAGAGCGACAACTGGCATCAGAAAATTACTGAGGGAGAATGAGATTGAATGAAGGTGAGTGAGAGGAAATGTGAGAACAGCAAAACTTTTGTTTATGTCCTACTTAAGATATGGATCATAAAATGTATGAATTCAGTGGGGAACAATGTCAGTTAGTTGGCATTAGATATTTTCACCATGAATATGACAAGAAGCAGCTTCAGTTTCATAGCATGAGTGCCTTTGACTTGATCCTTTTACCAAGTTGATGGTGCATCTGTTTGCATCTGCTAACAAGCCAGTCATTATGTCGATATATGTGTGTTTGCTCAGTCAAGCACTGTGAGTTAGCCCTGTGAAACAGACCATAGCAAACATACAAGAACTAAATAATGCATAATAAAAATAACATGTAATTGTGCAGAACACAATGTATGTAGCACAGATGAGTCAATATTGCATATCTGTTCTGTTGCATTATTTTGACCATGAATGCTATTGTGATTATTTTGTGTGGAGGACGTTCTATGTTAGATTCGTTAGTTTCTATTGCTATCTACTTAGCACCTCATTTCAAGCACATAAACAATATATTGTCTTCTTTTGTAAATCCAAACTAACTGTCCTTGAAGATAATCTTTGAATTCCTAGCCCTAGCTTTTGTTCAGGGAGTAACTTTAATTTTTATCTTGCTCGATATTCCTATTTTCATTTCATTTGTCTTAATATTTTGGTTGTTTTTTTCCATTCTTTTAATTTTCTCTGTATTTTCATTCATATACATTAACGTATTAGTTGAGCCAATGGAAAAGTGCGAACATTTTTACAAAAAAAATTGTGGAACGCTTCACAAATCACGGAGGGGGGTGCTAAATTTTGCAGGGAGAATGCTGTGGGTTGATTGGTGCTTTTGAGGTACATTTTACTGCTACATTTTTTTACTTTATTGATAAAAACTAAACAGAAGGATATAACATATTAGATTCTTGCAAAAAAAATATTAATTGTTTCCTTAACTAAATTGGGTGGCCATTTTTTTTTGTGTGTGAGTTGTGAGGGGAGGGGGGGGGGCAGGTGGACACCAGCCATGCTACAGGAGATCTCAGGGTTCAGCACAGACCCAGAGAGATAGACAGACACTCAGAGACACAGAGAGAGACACACATACTCACGGACAACAACAGACAAAATTACAGTTGTGTAGCACCTTTCACATCAGGAGGACATCCTAAGGCACTGGACAATTAATGTTTTGGACCTGAGCTGGGGGTCGGAATCGGGGAGGGTGGAGGGCAGGGGGTAAGGATGATGACTAAAGGCATCATCGAAGAGAAGGGTCTTGAGATGGGTCTTGAAGGAGGCAAGGGAGGGGGCAAGGTGAAGGGACTGCAGGATGGAGTTCCAGAGGATGGGGGCAGAATGGCAGAAGGCCTGCTCTTAATAGTATCTATTTTAGAGTGAGACTGAAAGGGTTTTCAACTGAACACAGAAGCAAAGGATGCAGCTAAAAACAAAGTACCATTGCTTTCAAAAAAAATCAGGAAGATAATAAGGGACAAGTGGAAAGCTTATCCAAAAAAGAATTATCAATATGGTGGAAAAACACAAAATATAATAATAGTAATAATTTATAATTATTATAATCTTTGCATTTAATTATCAAAGTTTCTTATCAAGTCACCGAGACGTTACAAAAAGCTTTATAGGATATACTATAAAGTGGATTGACTGTGTATTTTTTATCTGGCTTTCATGTACGTGGAGACCTGTAGCTCGGTGGTTAGAGTACTAGCATCACCGGGTTTAATTCCCGGCAGGTCGAAATGTTGGGCAAATTTCCTTACTCCATACGCCTCTAGCAGTAAGTAGGAAGCTGGTTGTTAATTGATTGGTGTATTGCTTTTCCTGGGATAATAATGCCTTCAAAAAGATATAAATAAAAAATAATAATAATTTGGTCACTCAATCCATGCCTGTTTTTGGAACACTGCTGTGAACAATTGGCTGCAGTGTTTCGCCCACAAAATATACAGTCAGTTCACTTCACAGAATATTCTGTGAAGCACTTTGAGACATCTTGAAGGCGAGATAAGGTGCTATATGAAATGCAAGGGTTATTATTATAAGGATTTTGCTCTGAATCACTATTGGTGATTCTTGCTGGAAGGTTTCCTTGCATGGACAAATGAGGACAGGATTGGACTGAACTGTGATATACTCACCTCATGGATGAATAGCCTGAAATCACTCACTAGGATTTCACATGCAGGGTATAAATGCTGAAACTTTGCTGTAAGCGCCTATAATGTGAAATTGTAGCCTATGCTAGTTCCCACCATAAGAACATAAGAAATAGAAGCAGGAGCCTACTCCGCCATTTAATAAGATCATGGCTGATCTTCTAACCTAATTCAATTTACCTGCCCTATCCCCATATCTCTTAATCCCTTTAGTTTTTAAAAATCTATCGATCTCAGTCTTGAATATGTTCAATGACTGAGTATCCACAGCCTTCTGGGGTAGGGAATTCCATAAATCTGAGTGAAGAAATGTTTGAAGAAATGCTATTTTACCATCAGGGTCTTGAGAGATGGATCTTGTGCCCTCTTAAAGAAATGCCGCACCCATCCCCCGCCCCCACCCTCCCCCCCCAGTCACGGAGTTAAAGTAGTCGAGCCTGGATGTGATGAATGCATGGATAAGGGTCTCAGCGGCTGAGGGAATAGGCAGTTGTGGGGGATGAAGCGGAGGTGGGGGAAGGCAGAACGCATGATGGCACAGATGTGAGGTAGGAAGGACAGTTGAGGGTCAAACAGGATGCATACAGGTAATCATACAGGTAATCAAGGTAGATGCCAAGCAATGGAGATGTAAGCTTGTGTTCATGAGCCCATGCCCCAGGTTCTCTGCTCCAAATAAGAAAAGGAATGGTACAGGATACTTTAAATACACAGCCATTGGATCACAATAGATATCAGCCATTCTTTATGGATAATCAGCAATCGAAGAATAAAACCACCAGTGACAATCAAGCTATAGACACCAGAAATCTGTAACATTGAGCAAGTCACTGCCAATCACACAGGAAACAACGAGCACACAAACCCACACAAGTGTTAGCATGTCTCAGTGTGTTTATTCTATTTACACTTTGTCAGTGTTCCAATTCAAATTGTATAAATTGGGGAAGAAAGCTATTTTTCCAAATGACATAATTTAAATTATTTCAAATATTGTTTGAAACTAATCCTATAGCATGCACATCACGAATAAAGCACATTTCCTTTACTGAGGAGAAATAAGAAGATAGCTGTCCCCACTCGTGTGTACACAAAAAAAATGTAACTTTGTTGTACATGACACCCACAAGTGTTCAAATCTCCACACAGATTTGTGCTGATGAAAGATTAGGCTTGTAATTCAACTTGTAATTCCACCGTAGTATGAGGTAGATAGTTTACTTCATATGTTTTACTCATGTTAACATACATGAAAGCTAATTTATCTCTTGTAAAGGCACAGACTATGCAAGTGAACCAGATGTACAATATAGCTTTGAGCAATGCTGCTTTCAAATGCACTTATTGGATAGTGACTTCACTACAAACACTGCAGCGAGGATGAATGTATAAAATGGTTCACTAATATAAGTAATTAAAGCGATGCTGTTCACTGAAACTGATTTTTAAGATTCTTTTCCAGATTGCAAACAGAGAACTGCTCTGTGATATAATTGTGTTACTGATTGAGTCGTCTGGTAAAATTAATTCTAAGCATAAACCAAACATAATTGTGACACAGAATTAATTTTAACATCCTTTGCAGTAACAACATACTGTGGTACCAACTCACCATTGGGTTTGAGTGATGTGTTCAGAGAAGGTGCTCGTGGCTGTTCCAGTAACATAATCTGTCCCAAACACTCACCAAGTCGGTGACAAATGGCTCTTTCAAAAATCCAGTCAAATGCAATATGCAGTAATACCATAAAAAATGGGGTATGGTTGCAACAGTGCAAAAGTCACATTTTTATGCTGGGTGGCCAAGCACGATCAGATTGTTTTTGCACAAGTGTATAAGGAATACGTCTGAGGTCATAATGAAAAATCTTCGTGTGAAGGTGTGATTTATGCAGTGGATTTTGTGATGAATTAATGAAAACACACAGCGGACCAACAGACAAGCGATTAAAAACCTGCATTCTAAAATAATATAGAGAGTGGATCAAACCAGGACTACAGGAATCCTGAAATAAAAACAAAATTTGCTGGGAACACTCAGCAGATCAGGCAGCATCTATGGGGAGAGGAAAGTGAGTTAACATTTCAGGTCAATGACCTTTCATCAGAACTCCTGCTCTCTGCGAAAAAAATATTAACATACAGCAATTAGTAAAATTCATGAACTAGAGGAACCCAACTTTCCCCCCCACCTACCCCTCGATGCAGAAAGAATCTGAGAAAGCAAAATTAAACAGAAAGCAGTACAACAATGCTTTAAAATGTATCAAATGAAATGATTGTCAGCTCAGGTTCACAAAATGGCGGTATGGGAACCAGGAGTGAAAAAAACCAATGATGCGGTGTGGGCGCCACCTGTTGGTGTTCCTTTAAATGTTCCTTAAATAAGTTAAAGAACACTTTAAGGAATACTACAAATTTTACCTCTTTATTTCTGAAGATATTTAATGCGATGGACAACACCCCTTGGGTTAATTTACAACCCTTTTTTTATTGCAGCATTGAAATCACTGTGTTTATCCTAACCATAATACTTTGTCTGATCCACAATATTTATTATGCCCATTCTTGTGAAGTCTTCATCACTCGTTTACTTGTCACCCAGGCTGATTTAGTTTGCTTATTGAATAATAAGATGCTTCTTTAATAAAGCCTTAAATAATAAAAGAATGCCAAAGTGTGATTAATGGTAATCTAGTTTATATTAACGCAGGATCAGTACTAAGGGTATTTTGACAGAGAAAGCCAGGTTTTTAAATTATGTTGTTATGGGAAAGCTGGAGGACATGGCTGAAAAGGATTTTACATTCAGTGACTCTGGCAGGGAATCTTACT